ATACGGAAAATACGCCACTCGGGTCCCGGATGAAGTGGCGTTTGGAATCTACGAGTGGTTTAGTTCCCAGTAAAACACTCTTCTCCATATAATAAATCAATATACGGGTTCACCTCGTGTATCTTGAGTTACAGTAGCCAGACTAAGCCTTGATAGATGAGGTTCGTTTGAGGCTCTTTCTGCCATCTAATAGTACACGTTGCAGCGAAAGCGTAGTTCAAATTCGTCGACAACGTCTACCGTCTACGAATCGGCCTGCGAGCGAAAACAACTTCCGGTGCCTCGCCGCCAAAAGCATCACAATTTTCAATGTTATTCCACCAGATATCACTGTCTCCACAACATTTAGATTTGAGGTCAATTAAGGAGCGAGATTCCCGAGAACTGGAAGCTATGGAAAGAGAAATACTGTAATAATTACTTGGTTTGGAGCGGGAAAGCCCCGAGTATCAGCACGCCATGTTCAAGGACGTCGACGTTATTGATGACAATGGTCTTTAAGTGTTTAAAGTCTTAAGCTATACTGAAGAAGAAGATGCAAACGATTGCCGTGCAGTAATGGGGAAGATGAAAAGGTATTGCATCGGCGAAGTTGTTTCAGCAGGAGTGAAAAACTTCCTACCGAAGCGCTCGACAACTTAATCGCTGAATTAAAAAGAACCTTGGCAAAGAGCTGCAATTTTTGTGTTTTTTTTTTACGGTTTTTACACGATACTCTCATCTGCGTTCGATTGGTCTTGGGATAAAACATGAGCAAAGCACAAAGCAGCCACTTTAAACCCTACGTTAAACAAGTGAATCGACCTTACGGCATCCGAGATGCAAATACACTAGAATCCTGGTGACTCGAACTCTGAAGAAAAACGAAAAACTGTTCGAGTTAGCGGGGTTTCGAGTTATCGGGGTCAATTAAAATATTCAATTTTTCAAGTTTATAATTAATAGTTTATTGATTTTCAGCACTTCGGTATACAATACAAGTAATACAGTGCAAATTAAAGTTATTTCACGAGAAACTAACACATTTTGTAACAACTGTAACGATTATGCATTCTTACGACAATGTAATACTGTGAATGTAACTTAGTTTATTTAATACACTCAATTTATGTTCCCTTTTGCGTCGGGATCGTTCTATCATATCCGTAAAGTTCTTATTACTTAGGAACAAAAAATGAATGCAGCGTCTGCTGTCGTAGGGAGCTCCTGAAGATTCTTTCTGCTGATGCCTTTATTTGCTGTACATGGCTTCTGATTTTCTCTGCACCCTCGTTCACCAGCAGACTGTATGAATTCAGCGCATCAATTGCGGATCTGACTTCGCTTGCAGTGATCTGTTCGTTGCACTAATTAAAATCAAATTGCTCCAGTCTTTGTTCTCGTGTTAGAATTCGATCACACGATAAGTAAAGCTAATGAGATATCTCAATGGGCATCCGTGTCGAGTTATAAGAACCAGAAATTCGAGTTATCTGGGTAAATTTTGATCAAGGGAAACTAAATTTAATTCCAGTTAACGGGGGGAGTTCGAGTTATCCGAGTTCGGGACAACACCTTGTAAAATTAAATTTGTCCAGGATGCATATGGCTCTAAAACCTCACCCAGGCTAAATATGTAATGACAGCGTTTAATTCTAAATGAAAATACGAAAAATGAGCAGTTTGACTCATCGTTCGCTTTCGCGGTCATTTTGCATTGTTGATTTGAAGAGGACGGATATGAAATGTACAAAGGTTTACTGAACGCACTTGGACAGCCTTCGTTTTGCTCGTTAAACCTTTTGTTTGGTGGTGTATGGTATGGCAAGCCGTTTGTAGCAAAATTTAATCCTTGCAATAGATGTTTAATCCTTTGAATAGTGGTTCTATTTAAAGAGTAAAAAAGCCTTCAATCCAATCGCAAATAAAAATTTTGGTTCAATTTAATCTTTTAATTTTCAATCCAATACCTGGAATATCGATTCAGTCCAATACCTGGAATATTAATTCAATCCAATACCTGGAATATTGATTCAATCCAATACCTCGATTATTGATTCAGTCCAATACCTCGAATATTGATGCAACATCTCTACATGTTGTTTCACTTGTCAACTGCATGCAGTAATGTCTTAACTGACCTAAAACCGCAAAAATTATCACCGCACAGGCTTCCCAGTCCCCCCACTTCACATCCTAATAAGGGAAACAAAATGGTCTGGGTGAGTACTGACGCAATCTTACCGTTCAAGCATTCGCTTTAGGATTGAATGCCCCTAACAGTCCAAGAGTAGAAGAAATGATAAAATCTCCAGCAGATCTGGGCACATATTTCACACAAACCTACAAGACTGATGAGATTTTGAAATTTTATGTTCAAAGCTCAGCCACGACACATCTTTTCCATTCCTTTACTTTTTTTTAACTGAAAATTGCTCTCTTTTCGACGATCAATCTGGAGACAGCTCTTGCCAGCTGAAAGGAAAATTTCTCAGCCTATGGCCGAAGAGTTCTCGTTTAATAGCGCTTAAAAAAACCCATTTAAATGTCAGCATACCAAATAAATCGTGCAAAGCAACACTTCTTTATACGAAATTTATTATAATTATTATTTAACAGGCTGCCTGGCTCCGCTAGCCCCTATGGTTATTCTAGGCAGCTAGTACTCTAATTTTTACTTTTAATATTTTCATTGAAATCGTAATTTTTTCTTTAGCAAGACTGAGTACAAATAAAGATTGATTGATATAACTAAAGTAGGCTAGTATGTTCTACAAAGTTCTGAAAGTATGTTCAGAAAGTTCAAAGAGGATGAGTCAAATTCTTTCTCTTTAACTACACGAGTGAAATTGACAACATTGCGGGCATTATGAAACAAAATTACATAAATCATGTTTATTTCTTGTCAAACTGACTCTCGGGCGAAACGACCGCAATTCGTTAAAAATTATGTTTATGTCTTTTGTTTTTGAGCACAATCATTAATTTTAGGATTACTGTAAATGCTGAAATCTAATCTTACTTTAAGTTATTTCACTTAAAAATATGTCAAATCTAAAAAATAATTCAACTTCTTTTGTTATTCAGTTAGCTAGAATAAATTCTACAAGTAAATTCTCCATTCTGACCACTGGCAGTGGTAGTTTTTTGAAAACATAGCTATTCCGCCCTTTTTCTGCTTGGTGAAATGTCAGTTTTATTCTTCCCTATTGGCTGAATTGTTTTTTTTTTTCACTGTCGTTGTGTACTATTGTGTTTAATTAATGATAAATTCTGCGCATACAATCACTGTTCTAGCTTCCGGAAACCACCCAGTCTTCTCTACTTGACCATTTGATAGCTTCTCAGCTTAATGCTCTCTCAGCTAAACTGCATGTTGCTTTTTTTATTTACCTGCGTTTTCCTTATTTTTCTCGAACTTTGCTAAAATTGTTGCGGGTAGAATTTCCCTAAGCCAAAAACATGGGCGATTGTGTGACCTGCGTGACGCGAAGCATCCTCTACATTGTAGGTCATTACGTAATTAGCGTGACGCTTGCACTTTGAGCACCACTTTCACGTCTTTCACACAATCACCTCCACATGAAAGTTTTATTCCAGGCGATCAAATTATTTCCACTTGACAGTCTTCATGCTACCCAGAGCCTTGTCATAAGGCAGCTTCTTTTCCTGAGCTGTCACGTATATCTTCTCTTCAATTTTCACAATTCCCAGTTCAGCTACTGCTACGGAAACAGGCCCCTTTTTCCCTTTTGGCTCACAGCCTTTATCAAAAGTGATTCTGGTACCTGATAACCTCCCCTTGATGTGTTTCGGCAGTGCAATCGAGGCTCCCCTCGCCATCTTTACTCCTCTGGGCCCCACCTCTGTTATGGTCCCCTGAATGGACCTCCGTAGGTAAACATGAAAGCCTCCCAGTTCTTCATCCCACAGCCATTTTCGTATGACCGGTTTAGTAGGCAGTAGCTTGTCTAGTAGCTCTGCCCACTGCTCACCGAACGCACCCACTTGTTTGACGTCGTTAAGCGCTCGGGTTCGTTCAGCATCGGATTGGGTTCGGATAACTTCGGGATCCCGCGATTCAGGTTCGTAAAATGGCGGTTCTTCAGTGTCGATATCTGGCTCGAGTTCCAGTAATGGAACATCCACGTTAGCCAATGAGATATCGACTTGTGTGGGGTTGTTAAATTCTCCATTTAGACTACCCTCTAGGACTTTTAAGCAGTGCAGCAGTCCAGTCCAGTCGCAAGCTCGGACGGCGGAACGCCAAAGTGAAAGCTGAAGAATGAACGAGAACGAGAATGCAGAGTAATGGATGTAACCCTCCAGCACAAGCAGCAGGTTTGTTCCGTTACATTCCATGCTGTTGATGTCCCACAGTTTGCACTCGTCACGATTGTCTGGCGTGGAAGAAAAAGTGTCCTGCGAGAAAATAAACAAATTGCATTTTCGTCACTTATGTATGCAAATGTATGCTGTTTACTGTACAAAACTTTGTAGTTTCAAAATTCTTGTATAAAGGTCGTTCAAAAGTTGACAAACTTCCTTCAGTTGTTGTGCTTTGTCGTCCTTTGCGACTCAAAACGGCTCTCAAAATATTGAAAGCGACACACCAAAAGGTGACCAAAGACCCTTCAAATTGCCAACATTGCGCTATTTGAGTCTCGAAGAGCAAAAAAACAAAAAAAAACATATCAATTATCGTAAGTTTACGTTTCTTTGGAACTTGAATGTAAACATATTTCTCGCAATATTTCGGGATGATGATGAGGTTTTCGTAACTTACGTGAGATTGTGTGATTGTCGAGACTTCTACGAGCCATAGCAAACGTAGAGAGGGCAAAATGACTATCCTTGAAAGTCTGGAAATTCCACTGAGATATCGCGAGCAAGGAGTCGGCAAGTGAGAAAATTACAATATTTAGAGAGGAAGCCACATCCGCCTTAGCTGATTTTCATGCAGGTCCTCTATCCTGATCGAATTGGAATTTGGAGATGTTGGTTTTTGTTGTATTTTGAGCGTTGGCTGTGGTGAGACAGTAAAGTTCACTGAACATCATGCACGTCGAGTTTCTTTTAATTAATTTATTCTCACCCTGTACACATCTGCTGCATAGTACGGTGGAGTAGACACGGCTGGAACAATGCCAAAGAACTCTCCCTGTTCGGCAGCCTCCAGGTTACTGGCAGAATCTTTGAAGGAGAACTCTGGCGTCCCGTCTAAAGATGGCTGGTCTTCAGATCTGGGTTCCTCTGAAGCCTGAGGGAGTGAGGGAGGGGAGGATGGATCCCTGCCCATGTCTATAACGACGTCATCCGTCTCCTCGGTGTATGGGGGAGGGGAGATGTGAGGCACACCATAAGGTCCCATGATGTTAGGAAACAGATCATCATACGCAGGGGGAGGGGGAAGGGGAACTGAAGTACTAGGCCCTGACTCAGACATGCCCGTTTCCTCTGGGGGTGGTTGAGGTGCAGGTATTTCAAGGTGTGACCATACTGACGGAGAGACCCTGCGGTCAGCTTTCTGCGCTTCGTAGACGTTCGATACCAGTCTCCGCCACTGGGCACGTCCCTTGGCCCAGGAGTTGATCATGTAGTTTTCCTGAACCAGTTTTGATTCCAACGCCAACAGCTGTTGACGAAATGCCCTCCTCTCATTTTCCACGGGAGTTCTTCGATGTCTCAGGCACATTGACACAACGAAGGCTACGAGTACAATCACGGCACACCCGCCTAAGAAGATGACCAGAGGAACAATGGAGTCCGGATCATTTCGCACTATAGCCAGAAGAGCCGATATTGCCGCCAGTCCAGCGCAGATGAAAGTCACGGCTCGCCAGATGACTAAAACCAAGGAATTAGACAGGTGGAAGCCGAAAATTCTTTTGAACGTCAATGTGAAAATAATCGCAGCCACATTTGCTAGTAGAAGAAAGCCCAGCACCACCATTGGCTTTGTTACTGCTAAAACAACGACTCCAACCATTAAGGCTTTGACAAAGTTAAGAAAAATGTTGTAGACGGGAGAGAATTTCAGATCTTGGCTCGGGTGATCTACATCACCGTATTTGGTTCCAAAAATGATGGCGGTTGTTGAGTACCACACCAATCCCAGCAGCCCTAGCAAGGCGATCGCTTTGTGACTCCCTTCCCAGCATTCCACGCTGGGGTCTTCATAGAGAACAGCGGGCAAACAGTCATTCTGAGTTGAAATATTCGCGCTCATATTGGCATTGATCTCCGGGCAGTCACCAGACTTGCAGGCTACGAAGGCCAAGAAACTTTCCACAATCGTCACAAACAAAGTGTTGGCAAACAGGGAGAGAAAGAGAGTCCAACCAACGTGTTTTGCGCATGATCCCTTGGGCTGATACTCCAGGACACTTTCTAGGATCACGGGCGCGCCACAGCAGAAGAACCAAATCCCGAATATGATGAAGGTGAGCCAGAGCTTCGCGTCGAACGAAGCGAAATTCAACAGCAGGTATTGTGACACAGTGTTGAGGGCACTAGCGCCAGGCATGGGAATGTCACTTATGATAAACACCAACGCCAGTAGCTGGAGAAATTCCACGACTTCAAACACAATCACGTGAATGTTTGTCCAGTTGAAACGAACGTAGTCGTAGGGCGCTGGTTGAATTAAGAGTGGTTCTTCTTGATCTCGTCTGTTGGTCACGGGATTTCTATTCTTGAGCAGAACGATAACCATAACAACCAAAGCTATGAGTAGAACGAGAGCGAAAGCTCCGATGACGATCGTGAGGTTGCTCGGCTCTACTTTTTTACTGACGTAAAACGGGATGAGGAACGGTAACGCCATGAAAATAACGTACAAGACGGCTGTCATAAAAATGGCGCAGTCCTTAGAGCATAAGAACTTCATGATCGTCAAGAATAAGTCGGCCGGCATCAGAAGGCCAAACAGAAGCGCTGTGAAGAGAAACCGGACACTTTCCCAACTAAGAACACAGCTCACAAGTTCAACAAGATCTTCTCCAATCATGGGCGGGTATTTCTCCACGGTCTCGCGCACAGCTCTCCAACTCTGCTTGAAGACGATGTCTCGTGTTATGTCGGTAATCAAAAACGGCGCGCGGTACAAGAAAATAACGACCAGTAAGATTCTACAAATGGTTATGAAATCGTAGAGGTATTCCTTGCAGGAATTGAACACTATACTTCTACGGTCATACCAGCGTCGGCAGAGGTTCTTCAACAGGGAGGGCCCGCGGTATATCAAAGCCAAGTTCAGCAGTATGAGAAGTGTAAGCACAAACCTTCCACTTGGAAGACACTTGATCAGCACTTGCTGAGTTTCCTTGCGCGTGCGGGTCCTGAGCCCGCACTCCTCACTCCACAGCGGCACTTTAGGAACGGCGTACTTTTCAATGGCGCGAATCTGCTCGGTCACGTGACTCTCAAACCGGATCATCTCGTTTCTAAATTTCGAGAGGTTGTGATTATGGGTGGAAATATTTGGGTGAAGCAAAAAATTCAGTTCACATCTGTACAGGCGCAGTAGCTTGTTGACTCGCTTCTTCTCCCACCAGTTTGCCATGTTGATCAAATGACTGAATCCTTCATCAAGTTCGTACTTCCTTATCTTGCCTCGAATCCATTCTAATTTCTCCAGATAATTTTCCATGATCACTTCCAGATGTTCCCTGAGTTTTGACTCTTGGGACCGATTCTTTAGACATGTTGAAAAAATGCCCTCCATTTCTCTCCGCATTTGGAAGCGCTTTTCTAAAATGTCTGGGACCCACTGCATGTAGTGTCTCAGAAGGCGGTTCTTTTTATGTTCCTCATCCTCCAGTAGATGGACCCAGCTCTGTATGGGCCTCAGGCACATCAACAACACGAACAAGATGATGAAAAAAATATCAAAAACCAACATGGCAGTTTCAAAATACACTGTAATAGCAAACTCCATAAAAAAGTTTCCTGCCTGGATAAGCTTGGACAAAAGCTTGGGAAAGCGAACAATTGTTATTAGAGTAATAAAACAAAGAAAAATGGCTGGTATATCCACAAACAATAATGCCACATTCTTACAGATGGCCTTTCGAATCTTCCAAGATTGCTCTTCTCTGGGTCTTGAAAGATACTTTCTGACATCACAAATTAAGGGATAGATTCTCCAAAGGGTTACTGTGACAACCAATGTCAAAAGGAAACAGCCAAAGTCAAGAAAAAGCATGCCTGCCTGGCAAACACAGTTTTTCCTAGTTTCCCATTGATTGCTTTTCCAGTTTCTGATGAAGTTAGGAACTCTCCACAGGGTAACAAACACAATCAGGGCACAGAGAATGCAGGGAATGTCTACAAATATCAACAGCACTTGCTCACCAATTATTTTACGAAAGTTCCATTGGGTTCTCTCTGCATGATAAAGTTTGTTGATCATAAAAGGTGCTCTCCATGTTATTACTGTCACAGTGAAAAGAATCAGGCAAACAAAGTCGATGAAGATGAGCATAAACTCTGGAAAAACTTCAAATCTCCAACGATTCCATTTTTTACCATCGCATTTCAACTTTAGCACTGATTTGGCCAAAAATGGGGCACGCCATGTGAGCATAACTAGTAGGCCGGTCAGTATGCAAGGGATATCGACCAGGAGCTGCAAAAACTGTATGATACAAATTTTCCTCCAACCAAAATCTTGCCATTTGTAATCCTTTTTCCTGAGTTTCTTGAGAAAAATGCAACATCTCCATGAGAAGAAACAAATTACTGCCAAGGGCGCACAGAGGATGTCACAGATAAGGCGAAAAAAATTCTTTCCAATTATTGCATGAAGCTGAAATGCTGCCAAACCATAGATTCCATACTCACCATGTGTTAAATCTTTGATGTTGACATCATCCCTGATTTCACGGATGACTGGTATGAGAATAAAACCAGCAGTAAACAGGATCATAAACAAACCCATGAGAATGAATGGAACATCAATCAAAAAGAAAATGAGCTGGACCAACCCAACACACCGCCATTTCCACCATGCATCCATCTTGATAAACTGAAGTACCATATATGGCAATCGGATGATGGTGAGACAGGCAAGGACATTGAATATTAGTCCAAACAAATCTGCCAACCGTTTGGCGACAAACAGTGCAAATACACCCAGGCTCCAACATGATTTCTGAACAACATAAGCTATACAATCCACAATTTCAGACATCTTGTAAAATGAAAAGGCACCAAGTTTCCAATGGAAAACAGTGTTGTCAAATCACCTGCATTAAAAAACAAAACAAAGCAAAAACAAAAAACATTGATATGCGAAAGAAAATCATACTGCCTTAAGAATAACTAACATGATAATATTTTTAAAATTTCTACATATTTGGCTTTCAAAAGTCACGCATAAGGATGAATGATAGTAACATTTGCAGAAAATCTCCTATCTAACAGAGTAAATATCATTAATTGTAAAATGGTGAGAATTTAGTCAACATAAACAATGACTGAGAATTGTTCAGAAGCAAGAAAATTTCTCTCCTGTGAGAAAAAATTATTATATTTTTTTCAGACCACTTCTACAAACATGGACATATGGATGAAACTAAAACTTTGTTCTGTGAAAAAGGAGGTGGGTAGAGGAATCATAAGTTTGTAACTAAATGAAATGATATCCATTATGCATTGCCATCTTTTCTTACAGTTGTGTATTTGAAAAAGCTAGTAAAAGATGATAATTAAAAACATGCTTGCTAAAGAAGCAAGTGCTGATTACTTGGTTGCATCTAAGCTCATACGTTACTTATTGTGGCCTAACCATTCCAAATAAAAACAATGAACCACTAATTCAAGGGAATATATGAACGATCTTACATTTGAACTGCAGAGAAAGATCATCGCAGTTATTCACACAACTTGAGCAGTTGTGAAAATGACGCCTGAAAAAATTCAGGGTCGAAGCTGAAATTTTTGAAGGCGTTACTTTCATCACTGCGTTAGTTACGTTGTGTACATAACTGCGATGATCATTCATGAGGATAACCGAATTGCGGTCGTTTCCCACAAACCACTAAGTAATTGATGAATGAAACTACGAGTTCATTTGCTTTTGAAATCTCTAGGACGCAAAATCAAGGAGTAGGAAAATACACATAAAAGACAGTCGTAAAGAAATGGCCGCCCTCCGAAATAAACAAGCCATTTGTTAAGTTTCAAATCAAAGATCAACGATAAACTTGCACATTTAAGCCTACATATCCTATTGCCACTTGCATTGTGGATTGCTGGCTATTAAAAACGTTTCCCAGATTGGAATCCTCCCACTTTTTTAACACTTCTTTCTTTCTACGTGGAACTATTCACGTAGTTTTGTGCTATAAGTGGGTCGATCGCAGCCGGCAGCCTTGCACCTGCAACAGCACGATCGAATGCTGTGCTGTGTGTCAGAGCAAACTTTACAGCTCACCTCTAATATGAGTGACTCCCTTTAGAATGAAAGCACTGCGAATTAAAGACAAGTGGTTTACCTCCAACGAAACCAGAATTTTACCTCCAACGAAACCAGAATGTCAACGAATTCCCCTCTGAACAGAAAGCGGAAAATTTAGCGCTGCTTTTCCGGTGAGCTGCTGCGGTCAGAATTTGTTATTTTTAGAATGATGCCGCTGACCAGTAGTTTTAAGTTTTCAATTTCCGGTCAAAAATTAAAAGCTTTAGTCCTTTCTTGTTCTGGGTCTTTCAAATCTCTGCTGATAAAGTGATGCGTCCCCGCTTTCCATTCTCCATAAATTAATGCTTGCAAGTGATAAATAATCCCTGGAATAATCGGAAATTGTCACCCAATGCAAAGTGTATAAATCAAATATCCGAAAGAAATGCTGCTCAGACTAACTTAGTCAGAGATTGTAGTGATTTAATACCGAGTGAAAGTTGTTTATTTTCCCACTTTCCAGTATTAAGCTATCCGCTCATCTTGCGTAATTTTTTTCTGGTCCCCCACCCCGCTCTTAGACATCCCTCCTTGGAAATTTCGTTATTTGTCGTAAGCTTTTGCGTCAGCTTGCTGTATTTGAAAGCGAGACAGACGTAAGCTCAACTGATTTAGACCTGTACTGTTTCGTGCGTAGGGATACTAAAATCGTCCTCAAAAATAGGAGGGATTTTTTGGGTGGTCTAACATCAGCTTCACCGGAAATGGTCATCTACGATGAGAGAATGGAGCCTCACTTGCATGCCGTGCGCCATGTTGATGTCACATGGATTGTAGTCAAGCTGCCGTGATGGCCGCTCTTGTACCAAATGAAACGAAACAGTTTTAGAGCCGTGTTCGAGAGAACGTGGACGAAAATCTCCCAAATGGTTATGACGACGGATTTACCCTGCAGTGGAAACATGGATCAAAACCAATTCAAATCCGATGCGCCTTTTATCGGAAATAGGTCTCCGACCAGCGCTGGAAACTCTCGATCCGAACGGCAGTTTACCCGCGTTTTGCGATCAAAATCCTCAACTGCTGTGAAGAATGCGGACGACAACAGCGAGATACAGAAAGAGCAGCTTCAGCCGAGCGTTAGTATCCCATTAACAAAGTCGCCGGAGCCTGAAATCGTTAATGACGGCAGCAATCATAAAACGGACGCCTTTGCCCAAGTGACACACTTACGTCAGCTTTTGTTACTGCATTTGGAGCTTATTCAGCAACAACAAGAAGAGTTACAGAAAAAAGATCGAGACATCAATCAACTGAAATTAGACAAGGAGCAGGTAGGAACATGTTTTGGACGATTTATTTTCTTCTGTCTGTGAGTTTTGCTTTCTTGTTTTTTTCGCATTGCATAAAACACCCAAACAGAAATGCATTAATTTAGTTTTGGAAAGGTCAGCGGCAGCCATGAAAATTCAAACATGGCGCCCATTATAAGTCACGTGGAATAATTAATTTATAAATCTTCGGAAATTCTTAGCGCATGACAAGTGAACACTCGTTGGACGTATCTGGAATGTATCTTGCGTTTTAGTGAATTTATTCAACGTGAAATCTCTTAGAAGCCTTCTGAATTTAAAAACTTAAGAACTTTAACTTTATCTGTATCATTTCTACTACATTTGTAGTTCAATTTTACAGTTTTGCCTTGTTCCTCTTTAAATTAATTGTAATGAAGCCTCAAGAAAAATCTCTTATTTCAAAAAGTTATTTTGTTTTATCACAAAACATTCATAGTAAATTACAGAGTTGGACTCGCTTTGTACATGGTTTCTGTAGGATTTGTTATACTTAGTGGCCTTGTGCCCTCTGCCCAGGTGTTCAAATGGGTGCAAGTAAAATCTCAACAAACTTTCAGACTTGTTAGTGCGTTATCAGCTTTGTATTTAACAGGGAAGACAAAAATGTTTATTCTGAAATGTTACAAACTGCTTATATTGCTTATTTTTCTCATTGAACTGCCAAAATTGTTTAATCAAATATCGTGAATCACCAAAATGATGCATCTAAATCAAGCTTTGAATCCTGCTTTTTCTCCTTGTAGTTCTGTTTCAGGACACTTGGAGTGTGTTGGCTCATGCACATCTGTAGATTGTTTACTGAAAGATCTCCTCTTGTTTGCCGCATTTTGGGCAAGACTGTTTCTCTTGGTAGTGCAGCATTACTCAGTAGTTCAAGACTGCTAAAATTATAGTGAAAAATAGTCTATTGTCTTGTATAAAGGCTTGTAATTAACACATCTTTGAATATATTTACTTGATCAGTATGTGACTGATATACATGTACATGTACCAAGTTTTTAGCAAGGTGACTGTTGATTCACACAAGAGAGGTTATTAAAGGTTGATTATAGCAGAGGAAAAATAATTACAAGTAAGGTGTTTTTTGTGCAGTAACAAACATTGGTTGCTAGTTTATAATGTCAAAATTATTGCAGTTGGAATCTCGGATGCACCGGTTAGAGAGGAGGATGGCTGTAAAGAGAAGAAGAGATGTCAATGAAGGTTATGACGAAGTCCCTGAAGAAAAAGATGTCAAACCAGTGACTCCTAAAAAGTATGCTATGCTTCATCAATGATTTCATGTCCAAGATCAGAAGATTAAGGTTTCCCTTGGAGATAAAAGTGACCAGTCTTGCTTAGAACACACATTTTCAGCTGTAACAACATGCCTTTTCCAAGACAGAAGTCATTCCCCACAATCAAATCAACCATGTTACAGTACGTGTATGTAAATGCAGTGAAGTTGTTTAGGGCCAACTGCGGGCTACTTTTACAACCTGAACTTAAATCTGGCTGAAATGTCATGCAAAAACAAAGACTTGGGTAACTTTGGAGCTGCTAAGGCCAGAAAGGCCAGGAAGGCTCGTTAATAAGCCAGCTTAATAAGTGTTTTCCAAGCTATATGTACATCCCTGTAAAGGTGGCAAACAAGGCTGCAACGTGGATCTGCTGTATCATGAGAAAATTTAACCAATGATTACTGGGAAATTACAGCTTTTGGATGGGGTCAAGCTTTTTTCATAGAAATGATCTCAATTGGATTTTTGTATTTTTGCAGTCGCCGTCTGTCAGTGGAGCAAATGATGCGAGCCAAAAGAGTCCCAGCAACTGCCCCGGTAACCATGACGTCGCACATGTGTGAGGATGTTAGCTACGACACGCACATACGAACAGAGAAGCTTTATCTGCATGGTGACTTGCCTGATCTTTTGAATAAAACTGTTGAGAGTTCAATTGTCGATAATGCCCAAGCACATGTGCAAGGTAACATATTACATGTAACTAAAGTTTGTAAATAAACTGTTGTGCCATTTCAGCAGGCAAGTAAAAAATACTGGAAGTTGCTGATTTTTTCAAAGCTGTGGCTGATTTACCGTAAATTGTTTTGCACAGTGTACATACTAACAATGCCTTTCCAAGGGCAGATGGAGTCAAATTTTGAATGGCACTTTTTTTCTTAGAATTAAAAACCACAAATACAGACTGAGTGCTCAAAGATGTTATTTGTAGATTAAAATAAACACAATTTTTGGATATCACGTCTCTGGATTACTTTTAAAGTAAATTATTACTTAGAATGTGGCTCTATATGTGTAAGAAGTGAAAGGGGAAAANGGACTTTCAATAAGTTTATCTGTTAAATTGTTTACTGTTAAAACTAATGATTGCTACCATCTGGGTTCGAATGCTGGCCAGCGTCTCTGTGTTTTGTATTTGGGAAAGACTCTTTACTCTCAAAGTGCCTGGAAACTTGGGCTAATTACAAACCTCATAAATCATTTGGGCTGGTAGACAGAGTTGAACTTCCTATTAAAACTGTTTGCTTCAGTTAGCTTTGACATTCCATTTAAATTCCATAGTAAAATGGCTTCTTTTCATTTGATCATCTTATTATGGTTGGGGAGTTTAAGCATTTTTGTTTACTGTTCAATGAAAAGTTAGGGATAATGTGCAGGGTCAACCTCAGAAGACTTGTGCTAATTGTTTTCGAAGATATGGAAATGTACTGTTTCTTTCTGTCAATGACTTCAGTGTCCTTTATCCTTCTCTGTGCTTACAGAGTACTGATGATGAAGTATTTGCTAAACGGCACATGAAACAGGAACTCGAGGAAAGGAGGAGAAAACGGTAAGAAAAAACATCCCAGCTTTGAAACTATAAACTGTGAATCAAGTCTCTATTTTGCCTTTTTTGATCACTTTTCGATCTACAATCTTTGATATTTTGTTAGCCATTGACTCTGTCTTGAAGTCAAATGCTGGTGGAGTTAGGTGCAATAGACCTCTTTCACTTTTAGTTAAGTAAGTTTAAAATTTTACTCACTGATGGTTACTTGTGTGAACTTTTAAAGTGCTACTATGATCAAATTTTTACCCCTCTAATTTTTAGGTATCACACAGAATTCCACAAAATATTTAAAACACTGTTTATCATTTGCAAATATTTACATTAGTTCTGGAGATATTTAAAGGGGCTCAGTCACGGTATTTTGAGTTATTTTGGCCACATACAAAATTACCTTTAATTGGTAGGAAACCTGAGAATAACAGTTTAATAAGATAGAAAAACACCAATGAGACAATGAGAAACCATAAAGGCACAAGGATGGCTAATGTTGGAGAAGATTAACACAGATTACAAATGACGAATTTGAAAAATTGAGGCTAAACTTTCCAATATGTGCAAAAGTGTGACTGAGCTCCTTTAAGTTTGAAAAAAAAAGTGTAAAATATGCAAATGAGAGGACTGATGACGTCATACAATCAGTGCAGTATTACATCAAGTATATAAATTTGCAGCGTAAATCATTGAAACATGATAGGCTAATAGTTCTAGAGGCAACACAGCTACAGCTATAAAATATTCTGTTCCCATGGCAACTCACTCTTTTCCAGTCCCCTTCAACCAGATTTCAGTATTGTCAGCTTGAAAATCATTTATCAAGGCCACAAACTCGGATATTCAGTGTAAGGTGTTTCAAATACCACTGAGCTGGGTAGGAGTTCTCAAAACTATTTGCCACCTTTCAAGTCTTATTAAACTAGTTCATTGTTTTGTTAAATTTCCAGTTGGGACATACAGCACATGCGTGCAATTCAGGCACATCAAAGTCTTGAAAAGAAACACAAAGATCGAGAGGAAGCAAGATTGAGAGGGAAAAGGTCTGGCTGTAAAGACCAGAGAGCAAGAGATATAGAATCCTTTCTTCCGCCTCCTGAAGATGGTAAGGAATAGCAGGATTTGTGCAGAAAACTTTTTGACATAGTTTTATCAATTGCCTAAATTCGCAACTATTTCCAATCAGAATACAATGTTCACAACAACATCCTCTTTGGACAGTGAATGGATGCTGAATGCACAATGACAATAATTATTTTGAGATTGAGGTCAAAAGTACATTCAAGTCCATCAAAGTGAACTTTGCAAGAATTGGTCTTTTATTTTATCGCAATTTTGGGAAAAAGTAACAGACGTCTCTGACTGAAGTAGCCGACTTTTTTTTGTCAGCCATGGGTGTTTATTGAAACCCCTGTTTATAGTGTACAGTAGCAGGGATGCCAAGCTAAAAATAATACAATAATGGGATATCACCAATTTTACCTTTTTTGACCCTAAAAATGTTGTTCAATTTAGAGCTCTGCTAACTAAACCACAAAAATGCGTCAAAATAATATCCAAAATTTTCCACCAAAAATGCCAAATATCAGCCAAAATATGTCTGAAAAATATATTTTATGCATTTTCATTTGTATTGTCCTGGAGATTTGGTGACTTGTACAGGAGACTGGGAGACTCCAGATTAATGCGGGAGAGTTAGCAAACATGCAGTAGAGTACTTACTGTGACTGGAATTTATCATGTTGAAACGAATTGCTGTTAAATTCTAGTGGTTTGTTGCATCAGCTGGGATGTGGAAAATAATGTATAACATTATACTGATGTTAACCCACTCTGTTGTATTTTATTTTGGTGTAGTAATGGCAGTCGAGGTGTCAGATACAGTACCCGTAGTAGCCTTTGGATTTCCTGTTCCACTCTTTCAAGACAAGTAAGTTTAGCAAACACAATTTTATAGGATCTTTTCTAAATCATGTAAAGTACTCTGTAGTATGTCGTGATGCCCACTTGGGTTCAACATTCTAAATATGTTGATCATCTTGCTACAGTCTATTAATGGTGATCCAGTGACTTCTTTGGTCCATATGGTTTGACAAAGTTTCTCTCAGTTATTCACGAAGTCCATGGTACATGTGCTGAGAACAGATAAACTTGGCGAGCAAGAATGCAAGTTCCCGTAATTTCCCTTGTAGGGAAAAGGACATGATGATGGTGATTCACAAAGTCCTAAATTCACAGTAATGATCTAGAGTTTAGCAATTTAAACATTTTTAGAAAGGTCAAGAGAAATCACTATTTTTTTCTTATGTTTAGGGAATTTGAGATCCCCTGGTTTAGTCTTGACAAGAGAGAACTAATCGAGAGGAAAGGAAAAGTTAAAACTGGTAGGACTCGTGGGAAACCTCGTGGCAAACGGAAGGGTTATTAGAAAGGGTGAGCTCAGCTGGTTTTGTTTGTTTTGTGAACTGTAAATGAATTTATCACCTTTTGCCATTTGACAATAAACTGTGCAGTTCTTTTCTTTTTGTAATTTTGATGGATCATCCTCAGTGTCTTCTCTGATGATGGGAGGCGTGATGGCCTCTTGTATAGTGTGCAGGACTTAAGGTTGAGTGGTTTTCATTCGATCCTGAGCAGGGTCATTGTGTTCTTAGACAAAACTTGTTTCTCTAATAGTGCCTCTTTTCTATAACAAATATAAAATGGCTATTGATGAGTACTACTAGGGCAACCTTAACCTTGATAAAGTAATTCAGAAAATAACCTATACCCTCGGGGTGGGGGGCTTCTAAATAGATCTAATTCCTTTCTCTCTAGGTCTTTATCTCCTTTTTTGTTACTTTCACAGGAAACAATTATTTCAAGCTTGATGTTGGAATCCTGGCTAAATAAAGGAGACATTTTTTTAGTGCCTGTGGAAGATAATTTGCTACTAAGGAAAGCTTAAAGTTCATGTACTGACCGAGGCTGGGTTGTTTGAAAGCCGCTTAAAACACTAACCCAGGGTTAAAAGTAAACTTAAGTATGTAAAAATGGTTTTCACTGCTAGTATTTTGTTTATTATGATTATTCAAGCTCAAGTTTGAAGGACAAACAATATATTAAACAGAAAACCTCACTGAAGTTACCAAACTGAAATCAAAATTCTCACTAATCCTGGGTTAGCTTAATCGAGCTTTGAGCAACCTGGTCCAGAGTGATAACTATTTTAATTTAGTTTGTAAGAGCAGATTTTATGCCAGTGCACCATGAACATGTGACAGACAGAATATCACATTTTTAAATTCAAATTAAGGATATCCCAAGGCCCATTCATGCCCTCAGAGTGTTTTTTTTTTTTTGGTATGGCTCTAAATTTAACGCAGTATAACCAGAATTTTGATTGCCCATTTAGATGCTCCAAGCAAAGGCAAAATTATTCACACAGCTGAATATTTTCTCTAAGCCATACTGAAGTCCAAAATCAGCAGTACCTAAAATGGACCTCCAGTCTTTCAGTTCAACGGTATTTCGGCCCTTCTGTTACAAGAAATTTTATTGTTTGCATTGTGTAACTACATTAAACATGTTATGTTCCCTTAGTCTTGAAATTATTACACAGTTCATCTCAATGATTCTTCTAAATTGGTTTGAAACTTACAAAATGGTAGAATTTTGTTTTAGGTAACAATGATGTCATAACATGGAGAATATTTTTATATTCTCATAATCTGTTTTATAGACCAATTTCGATATGTTAAAATTCAGCTTAACACAATAGACCTCAGCACGAGGCTCTGGGTAATAAACCCCACAAACTCTGTAGTTATTCCCCAGAGCCTCATACTGAGGTCTATTGTATTAGGCTGAATTTTAATATATCAAAATCGGTCTATTGGTATTGTAATGATATTGGAAGGAGAACCTGTGATTGATCACTCAAGACTTGAATGGTTTTAGGAATATCAATGTTGTGTTCAGCTAAGTTATGTATTTTATATACTGTATGTGACGTAAAGCCTCCAGTGGAAACCTTTTTACCAGCAGGGAGGGGATAAAGTAAGACAGAACCTACGGGAGAGGGTTAAAATATTGTACCAAACCTGAGAGAGAGAGAAGTCCATTTTGTCCAGATTTATTTACAACTTTCAACTACAGACTCTATGAACAATCCTATGAAACTCAAGTAACTGTTAAGTGAATTTTAATTGAGAATGGAACCTCATTTGTTAAAAGAAATAATAATAATAAAAAAAGAAATAAATAAACAAGAATGTGACAGATGTGCCTGTAGCTCTACCGCAGTGTACATTGGGTCCATTTTACAGTATCTATGAATTATTGAATTTTTTCCCTCACATCTTCCCAACATTTCAGTTAAATGTTTAATTACTCAAGTGGCCTGAAAATCAAAGCATACCAAAAATGGAAGTTCTGATGTATCCACAAAGTTTTGAAATACATATCTATACCATGGTACCTTCTTTTCTCCATAATGGGAATGTTCATAAAGAACAAGACCAATATTTCCCATTACCCCACTAAAAGTCGTGGTTAGCCAATCCAAAGGCATGTCAACATAAACAATAGCATCCATGTGGCACGAGAATATGCTTGGATATTTGTCTGAGGACATTATCTGTTCCGAAAAGCAAACAGAGTTTAAAGAAGAGAACAGTTTTCCGAGAGCGTAACTCAAGGAAAACTGTGAGCTTTGAGGAACAGATAATGTCCAAGGACAAAATATCCGAGCATATTATTATCCTTCCAATATTTTTTGCAATACACACAGTTTTGAAACTTGGGAATATCACGTGATAGGTTTAGACCAACTGCACATGAGCAAAAATTTTTGATGGATTAGAATGTCCTGATATCCTGGGAAATGATACATTGATCTGCTATGGCTTCAATATCATGGTCACTTGGCCACACTTGAGTATGGTAGATACCCAATCACACCTTGTTTGATATGCTTCAGTGGCCAACAGGCATTATCAAGTTGGTTTGGTCTTACCAAAATACAACCATGTCTTGACCAAACTCGCCTGATAAGCTGCCAAAGCATACCAAAAAGGTATGATAAGGTATTAACACATTTAATTTTAAAACAGTTAGTTATAAGGATACTGAACAGGCCAAAACAAGTTGAAGTGATTCATTTAAAAGTATATCTTTAATGGGCTCAGCTGGACTTTACAAACAACGCATTGCACTTTTTTTGACAACTAAACAAAAATTGGAATCTAAATGAATGGACAGGAGAAAACTCCAAACTATTCACACAAAACAATTATAATGTACTAAGTCCTTTATGAATAGTAACGATACAAACAAATATAAAATGCCCTGTTTCTGCACAAAGACTTCTTTATAAAAGCAATTATTGCATGTACAGAATAATCTAAGTTCTAAGTCAAACAAAACAGGATATATGATCATGTCCTTTGNAGAAAAACACCAATGAGACAATGAGAAACCATAAAGGCACAAGGATGGCTAATGTTGGAGAAGATTAACACAGATTACAAATGACGAATTTGAAAAATTGAGGCTAAACTTTCCAATATGTGCAAAAGTGTGACTGAGCTCCTTTAAGTTTGAAAAAAAAAGTGTAAAATATGCAAATGAGAGGACTGATGACGTCATACAATCAGTGCAGTATTACATCAAGTATATAAATTTGCAGCGTAAATCATTGAAACATGATAGGCTAATAGTTCTAGAGGCAACACAGCTACAGCTATAAAATATTCTGTTCCCATGGCAACTCACTCTTTTCCAGTCCCCTTCAACCAGATTTCAGTATTGTCAGCTTGAAAATCATTTATCAAGGCCACAAACTCGGATATTCAGTGTAAGGTGTTTCAAATACCACTGAGCTGGGTAGGAGTTCTCAAAACTATTTGCCACCTTTCAAGTCTTATTAAACTAGTTCATTGTTTTGTTAAATTTCCAGTTGGGACATACAGCACATGCGTGCAATTCAGGCACATCAAAGTCTTGAAAAGAAACACAAAGATCGAGAGGAAGCAAGATTGAGAGGGAAAAGGTCTGGCTGTAAAGACCAGAGAGCAAGAGATATAGAATCCTTTCTTCCGCCTCCTGAAGATGGTAAGGAATAGCAGGATTTGTGCAGAAAACTTTTTGACATAGTTTTATCAATAGCCTAAATTCGCAACTATTTCCAATCAGAATACAATGTTCACAACAACATCCTCTTTGGACAGTGAATGGATGCTGAATGCACAATGACAATAATTATTTTGAGATTGAGGTCAAAAGTACATTCAAGTCCATCAAAGTGAACTTTGCAAGAATTGGTCTTTTATTTTATCGCAATTTTGGGAAAAAGTAACAGACGTCTCTGACTGAAGTAGCCGACTTTTTTTTGTCAGCCATGGGTGTTTATTGAAACCCCTGTTTATAGTGTACAGTAGCAGGGATGCCAAGCTAAAAATAATACAATAATGGGATATCACCAATTTTACCTTTTTTGACCCTAAAAATGTTGTTCAATTTAGAGCTCTGCTAACTAAACCACAAAAATGCGTCAAAATAATATCCAAAATTTTCCACCAAAAATGCCAAATATCAGCCAAAATATGTCTGAAAAATATATTTTATGCATTTTCATTTGTATTGTCCTGGAGATTTGGTGACTTGTACAGGAGACTGGGAGACTCCAGATTAATGCGGGAGAGTTAGCAAACATGCAGTAGAGTACTTACTGTGACTGGAATTTATCATGTTGAAACGAATTGCTGTTAAATTCTAGTGGTTTGTTGCATCAGCTGGGATGTGGAAAATAATGTATAACATTATACTGATGTTAACCCACTCTGTTGTATTTTATTTTGGTGTAGTAATGGCAGTCGAGGTGTCAGATACAGTACCCGTAGTAGCCTTTGGATTTCCTGTTCCACTCTTTCAAGACAAGTAAGTTTAGCAAACACAATTTTATAGGATCTTTTCTAAATCATGTAAAGTACTCTGTAGTATGTCGTGATGCCCACTTGGGTTCAACATTCTAAATATGTTGATCATCTTGCTACAGTCTATTAATGGTGATCCAGTGACTTCTTTGGTCCATATGGTTTGACAAAGTTTCTCTCAGTTATTCACGAAGTCCATGGTACATGTGCTGAGAACAGATAAACTTGGCGAGCAAGAATGCAAGTTCCCGTAATTTCCCTTGTAGGGAAAAGGACATGATGATGGTGATTCACAAAGTCCTAAATTCACAGTAATGATCTAGAGTTTAGCAATTTAAACATTTTTAGAAAGGTCAAGAGAAATCACTATTTTTTTCTTATGTTTAGGGAATTTGAGATCCCCTGGTTTAGTCTTGACAAGAGAGAACTAATCGAGAGGAAAGGAAAAGTTAAAACTGGTAGGACTCGTGGGAAACCTCGTGGCAAACGGAAGGGTTATTAGAAAGGGTGAGCTCAGCTGGTTTTGTTTGTTTTGTGAACTGTAAATGAATTTATCACCTTTTGCCATTTGACAATAAACTGTGCAGTTCTTTTCTTTTTGTAATTTTGATGGATCATCCTCAGTGTCTTCTCTGATGATGGGAGGCGTGATGGCCTCTTGTATAGTGTGCAGGACTTAAGGTTGAGTGGTTTTCATTCGATCCTGAGCAGGGTCATTGTGTTCTTAGACAAAACTTGTTTCTCTAATAGTGCCTCTTTTCTATAACAAATATAAAATGGCTATTGATGAGTACTACTAGGGCAACCTTAACCTTGATAAAGTAATTCAGAAAATAACCTATACCCTCGGGGTGGGGGGCTTCTAAATAGATCTAATTCCTTTCTCTCTAGGTCTTTATCTCCTTTTTTGTTACTTTCACAGGAAACAATTATTTCAAGCTTGATGTTGGAATCCTGGCTAAATAAAGGAGACATTTTTTTAGTGCCTGTGGAAGATAATTTGCTACTAAGGAAAGCTTAAAGTTCATGTACTGACCGAGGCTGGGTTGTTTGAAAGCCGCTTAAAACACTAACCCAGGGTTAAAAGTAAACTTAAGTATGTAAAAATGGTTTTCACTGCTAGTATTTTGTTTATTATGATTATTCAAGCTCAAGTTTGAAGGACAAACAATATATTAAACAGAAAACCTCACTGAAGTTACCAAACTGAAATCAAAATTCTCACTAATCCTGGGTTAGCTTAATCGAGCTTTGAGCAACCTGGTCCAGAGTGATAACTATTTTAATTTAGTTTGTAAGAGCAGATTTTATGCCAGTGCACCATGAACATGTGACAGACAGAATATCACATTTTTAAATTCAAATTAAGGATATCCCAAGGCCCATTCATGCCCTCAGAGTGTTTTTTTTTTTTTGGTATGGCTCTAAATTTAACGCAGTATAACCAGAATTTTGATTGCCCATTTAGATGCTCCAAGCAAAGGCAAAATTATTCACACAGCTGAATATTTTCTCTAAGCCATACTGAAGTCCAAAATCAGCAGTACCTAAAATGGACCTCCAGTCTTTCAGTTCAACGGTATTTCGGCCCTTCTGTTACAAGAAATTTTATTGTTTGCATTGTGTAACTACATTAAACATGTTATGTTCCCTTAGTCTTGAAATTATTACACAGTTCATCTCAATGATTCTTCTAAATTGGTTTGAAACTTACAAAATGGTAGAATTTTGTTTTAGGTAACAATGATGTCATAACATGGAGAATATTTTTATATTCTCATAATCTGTTTTATAGACCAATTTCGATATGTTAAAATTCAGCTTAACACAATAGACCTCAGCACGAGGCTCTGGGTAATAAACCCCACAAACTCTGTAGTTATTCCCCAGAGCCTCATACTGAGGTCTATTGTATTAGGCTGAATTTTAATATATCAAAATCGGTCTATTGGTATTGTAATGATATTGGAAGGAGAACCTGTGATTGATCACTCAAGACTTGAATGGTTTTAGGAATATCAATGTTGTGTTCAGCTAAGTTATGTATTTTATATACTGTATGTGACGTAAAGCCTCCAGTGGAAACCTTTTTACCAGCAGGGAGGGGATAAAGTAAGACAGAACCTACGGGAGAGGGTTAAAATATTGTACCAAACCTGAGAGAGAGAGAAGTCCATTTTGTCCAGATTTATTTACAACTTTCAACTACAGACTCTATGAACAATCCTATGAAACTCAAGTAACTGTTAAGTGAATTTTAATTGAGAATGGAACCTCATTTGTTAAAAGAAATAATAATAATAAAAAAAGAAATAAATAAACAAGAATGTGACAGATGTGCCTGTAGCTCTACCGCAGTGTACATTGGGTCCATTTTACAGTATCTATGAATTATTGAATTTTTTCCCTCACATCTTCCCAACATTTCAGTTAAATGTTTAATTACTCAAGTGGCCTGAAAATCAAAGCATACCAAAAATGGAAGTTCTGATGTATCCACAAAGTTTTGAAATACATATCTATACCATGGTACCTTCTTTTCTCCATAATGGGAATGTTCATAAAGAACAAGACCAATATTTCCCATTACCCCACTAAAAGTCGTGGTTAGCCAATCCAAAGGCATGTCAACATAAACAATAGCATCCATGTGGCACGAGAATATGCTTGGATATTTGTCTGAGGACATTATCTGTTCCGAAAAGCAAACAGAGTTTAAAGAAGAGAACAGTTTTCCGAGAGCGTAACTCAAGGAAAACTGTGAGCTTTGAGGAACAGATAATGTCCAAGGACAAAATATCCGAGCATATTATTATCCTTCCAATATTTTTTGCAATACACACAGTTTTGAAACTTGGGAATATCACGTGATAGGTTTAGACCAACTGCACATGAGCAAAAATTTTTGATGGATTAGAATGTCCTGATATCCTGGGAAATGATACATTGATCTGCTATGGCTTCAATATCATGGTCACTTGGCCACACTTGAGTATGGTAGATACCCAATCACACCTTGTTTGATATGCTTCAGTGGCCAACAGGCATTATCAAGTTGGTTTGGTCTTACCAAAATACAACCATGTCTTGACCAAACTCGCCTGATAAGCTGCCAAAGCATACCAAAAAGGTATGATAAGGTATTAACACATTTAATTTTAAAACAGTTAGTTATAAGGATACTGAACAGGCCAAAACAAGTTGAAGTGATTCATTTAAAAGTATATCTTTAATGGGCTCAGCTGGACTTTACAAACAACGCATTGCACTTTTTTTGACAACTAAACAAAAATTGGAATCTAAATGAATGGACAGGAGAAAACTCCAAACTATTCACACAAAACAATTATAATGTACTAAGTCCTTTATGAATAGTAACGATACAAACAAATATAAAATGCCCTGTTTCTGCACAAAGACTTCTTTATAAAAGCAATTATTGCATGTACAGAATAATCTAAGTTCTAAGTCAAACAAAACAGGATATATGATCATGTCCTTTGTGCCAAAGGATGGAATAACAAACTAAGGTGGACATTTATGTTGGATCTAGGGTAAAATTTTATCGGCCTCCTGTCTGCTCCTGATATACTTCAATAACATCATCATCTTCCATTTCAAGCTAAAAACGAAAAGCAAATTTATTGATTTATTAACAGAAGCCAAGGTGCAGTGGTCTCATGGTTAGTGCACTCAACTCAGGATTGAGCCAGGTTTAACGTTATTCCTCAAAATTGCATTATGCATCCCTACTGCGCACAATTTTTGCGTCATTAGCGTGCACGTACACAACATATACAAAATGGTGGCTCTTGACTTGCGAGAGACAAATCATTGTTTTCTCGAAAATGAGTACTGGGTCCTATTGATTTTTTTATTTAGTTTGAGTGCAGAAATCACCTTCTTTCTATGCAGTGAATATGGACAAATTTCTATTGTAGAGTAAAAAATTATCACGGAAAATGAGAGCATAGCTAGCACTCGAAAAAGATAATATGTGGCCCCAGAACACTGCGTACTTGGAACATATTGTATCCCTGTCAACTAAATATGAGTGCCCTTATCATGAAACTTACATCAAATTGCTCCTTAACATTTATGCAATACATCCAATGTTGTATTTCTTGCTTAACCTTCTCTCTATTTTTCTGCTCTCTTAATGCATGAGGTGAATGGTTCAAATATAAATGTTTCTGAAAGCGGATAATCTCAGGAATTATGGGGTTTATTGTGGTCCTTTTGCTCCTAAAAGAATATGGGGACCCCCCTTTTTTATTTCAAATTTTAAGTTCTCTTGATATAAGTAGCCAACAGGCAAAGTTTGAAAGAAAATCTATTGTGAGTTTTATTTCGATGGAATTACCTTAAGGCCTGGCCAGGTAATGTGTTCTTGGGCAAGACACTTTAATCTCACCCAGGTGTACATGTATATATGAGAACCCACTGGGGGATAACCCTCCAGTGGTTTAGCATCCCATCCAGGGGTGAGTAAAAAATGATACTCCTGTAGCTGCTTCATGCTACATAGGAACCAGAGATAAGCACTTGTCTGATAGGCCACTTGGCTTGTATACAGACTTCACCTTGACCAAACAGAAGCCAAGATGAACATGCCCTGTTTGTTTTACATTGGAATTTAGACATATAAATTTTGATATACTTAATAAGTATTTTGTCAAGCCAATTACCAAACTCCAGAATTACTGAGTAGAAACAGAAAAAAAAAAAAACATGCATTGCAGTAACTAATCCAGTAAGACTTGACAAAACAACATTCTCGGCAAACTACCGACTTTTCCAGGTGGAAGGTTACTAAGACTTCCCCACATTCCAATGAGCAATGTCAGCGAGTCAAGGTCAGGGTGGACAAAAACACAAAAGGTACAAAAATTTCTACCCAACCTCGTTCTGGTGCTGTTGTTGGAATGCACTGTAATAGAATGTAGGAAACCTCTATTGATAACCAGCAGCCAATAATGATCCCTTGAGTTTTCTGTCATTATCGCAAATGTTGAAAAGTGACTGAATTTTGGCACGTGGCTATCATTTTAGTAGAGGAAATTATTCTGAGGTATTTTCCACTTCTTTGTGGTCAGGAAAATGAATCAAAAGGCATCAATACAGACGCAAAAAAAGGTACTAGCGAGTCATTTTCCTGATACTTACGTCTTTTGGCGTCTGTTCATCATTTATTCTTTGTCCATCAAAGAGAAAGCGAAGTGAATTAAGAGGAACACCCTAATATGTAACAAAAAAAAAAAAACCCAAACAATTAGAGAAACATAACATGGCTTTCTAAATTTTTGGACTGTGGGCAACAACGATGGGTACATTCTATTTGTACATGTTTCTTCTTTGCAGAGGTTTCATTAAGGGCCAGGTACAGCAGAAATTGACCAGCTATGAGGATGACTTTGCCAGCCTAGTTTGACCATCCAGAGGAAAGTTTTTCTTATAAAGAAGTTCAGTTCAAAACGTTTTGCCCGCCTGTGCAACCCAGTTCCCCTTCTGCTCAAAAAGTTAATGAAACCTTTGTCTTTGGCCAAGATAGCTGCTTTTGGAACCACCCATCTCAATCATGCCCCTTAATACTTGAATTAACACTTCTACTGTATTAGTGAAAAGCAATCATGATGGCAAATAATGAACTAATTGCTCAAAGAAATAATTTATAATTATCTGGGAAAAGTTACAAATGATTCAGCTAAGTGAAATCTCTATTTTGCTTTAAAGTGGCCCTATGATCAAATTCTTGATATCCTTTTTTACATTTTTGTACACAACAGGTCTATCCTAGATATCTCGCCAAATTTCAATCTATTATGAACATTTGAACTCACGTTTTTTGGACCTTTGTTTCTGAGAATTTACAGTAAGGCTGCCATTAATTTTCCTGGTTCCATCTTGGTTGAGAATTGGAGTATATTACATCATTTACTAAAAAATACCACATCGGTTGAAAGTACAATAACAGTACAGCAACTCGCATAAAGAATAACAAAAACTTTGGCCCTTATATTTGTGCAGTTTTCTACACTAGTTGTTATTATAATTTCAATCTGTACGGTATTTTTGTGAAAATTACATCATTTTCTCAAATTCTCAACCACGACTTGGAACCAGGAAATTAATGGCAGCCGTAAATTTTCAGAAATAAAGGTCCAAAAAAACACGAGGTCTAATATTCACAGTAGACTGAAATTTGGCAAGATATCTAGGAAAGACCTATTGTGTACAAAAATGAAAAATAATAATTTGAGAATTTGATCATAGGGGCACTTTAACAGAGCTGAATGCAAACTTAAAACCTTGCAAGATGAACATGTGACTTCTATGAAATCAATAAATACAGTGAAACCTCTATTAAGTTGACACCCTCCAGACCTTCCCAAGTGTGCACTTAATGGAGGGTGTCTGCATAAAGGTTTATAGCAATTGCACAATGTGCGTTACCAGAAAATATCCATACTCCCCCCACAGAAGGGATTGGAATTTCCTGGGGGGTGGGGGGTTCTCTAAGACCAAAAATTTTAAAGAAATGTATCACATTTAATTGGAATTTCCAGAGGGGTTGGGGGG